TCGTGCAGGCCCCAATGTTCATAATAAATCCCTCGATCCAACGACCCCTCTCATCTCGAATCAAACCTCCCGCACTACTCAAGCCCGTGGAGTGATTAAAAGCTCCATCCGCATTGACTTTAACCCAACCCGTGTCCGGAGGAGTCCAACGAATCAATCGAGTAACATAAGTTGCAGCTCCAACCTTCGTGAAAGAAGCAGCCGCTCGAGCATAAGTTTCCATAAGATTTATGACCTCTCTCATCCTTGCTTCGCTACTCGGATTTTTATTCTGAAAAACCCGCTCATTACGCCATTTCCACATGCGCCACACGGTCACCACAAAGAGGTTGCACTAGTTCGAGAAACGTCCCAGCCTAGGCCGCAATAAATTCCGGCGTAACCAAATTTTGAGAGGTACCTGAAAGAAGTCACCCACCTCCGCCTCCGGTATCAGTCGTGACCACATCTCCTTAGCTACACGGCAGTCCCTCAGCACATGCAAGGTCGACTCCCCTGCACCGCAAACACCACAGTCCGCTGAAGCCGATATGTGTCGCCGAAAACGTTCCGCATTGGTAAGTTGCACCGTTGACGAATGAATTTTATATGGATAATATTCAGTCAACCAAAGTGATCATCCCTAAATTAAGAATAAGATTTTCTTTCTTTTATTTTACTCCCCACTTATGACATATAGTTCTTGACTTCTCTTATTAGTCGTCCATCGTTTACCAAATTAAAATGATAACAATATTATATGATAGGAAAAGAGTGTAAATTTATCCTCAAAATAAATCTAGTCAGAGGTGTCCATATAAGGGTGTGCATATTTTTATTCTATTTTATTTTGAAAATGCTACAAATACATAATAAATGTACATAACACTCACATGAAGTAGGGTCCACTTAATTTTTATTTTTTGTGAATCCCACTCAATGTAAGTGTTGTGTACATCCTTATGTATAACCTCTATGTGCCTATAACATTTCTCTTATATTTTTGTCTCCGAGCCTAAGGGCGTGCTTGTTAACTAATCTATCAATAGTTTTTTTTTTCATCTTTTTTAGCTAACCAGAATTAATTTTAAACAAATTGGTATGATTAGTTGCTAGTAAAATTTTAAATTTGTATTGAAATATTATTTAGAATCAAATAATTAAAATTGATTTGGTGTTAAAGTAAGAAATAAATGATTAAATAATACTGATGTAATGATTGATTAATATTGTTTAATTATATCAATAATATTGAGAATAGTGTGACTGGAATCTAAGTTGAGCTAAATTTTGAATATGAATATTTTTATACACAAGCACACACTAAGTTTTCAAAGAAAAAAATAAAATAACTCGCAAGTCAGCCCATCATTCACATATAAAAAATTCAAGGATTGAAATTTATATAGCATGAGGGACTCAATATGACACAGGATACAGATTATAATCACAACACCCAATTCATGCATAAAATCTATTCCACAACACAATCAATGCAAATAACAAAAAACGACATTGCGTGCAGCGACTTAAAAAAAAAAAAGCTAAGACCCGAGCAAGAACACAAAACCATACCACGTACCTGTACACAACCGCGCGCTTCATCTTTGCAGAAAGAGAGCTGCCCCAACGAGACCGACCCACAAGGTCAACGACACCCAAAAAGCTTGGTTCTTTTCCAGACCCACCGGAGGTTTCCAGACCAAAAAGTCCGCTAAGTAGTCCTTGTTTGACGGGAGCTGGTTTGTTGTGGACCCGCTCATTCTTTGATCCTTATCCTTGTATTTGTCAGTCCATGTAGCCGCATAGCTGATAACAACACGTAAAACAGCTCGTACAAACTCAAATGGTTCCTTAAAAGATTAAGGTTGTGTTTGCCTGTTTGGTAAGCATACAGCTTATTTGATTAACTTATAAGCTTTCTGTATTCAAATAAACTTGGTTTGTTAGGACGATTTTTTTTAGAAAAAAACTAGGTTTTATCTCATAAGCTTCCTTGGGTAGTTTTTCTAATCAGCCCATTGAAATTTCTATTTCAGCTAGCTTATCACATAATTTTACCAAACACTTCATATAAGATAGTTTTTCAGCCATAAGTCATAAGTTATCAACTGTAAGCTCGAAAATTCACTTAAAAGCTATAAACTAGCTGATAAACATAGCCTAAGTTCTACAGCAGTTGTGGTTGTATTTTCAAGAATGATCTCTGCCTGAATATCATATGGAATTTGTAATTGCTCCTTAAAATCGTTCAAATAATCCCATCTTTTATATATTTTTTCACCAAACAAGGGGGGAGTTGCAAAATTAATCCCCAGAGCTTTTGCCTAATTACAAATATGTATCCAGTTGTATTTAACAACATGAAAAGGTTGTTAAGTTATGTATCTAGAAACTATGAAGTTTCACTGCAAGTATGTAATTTTCATTCAATCACTATACACACCTATTTTATTGGGCATGGACAGAAATAAGCCTGCTAGTTTTTTCTAATTAAAAATATATACCCTTAAATGTAATGGTAATTGCAATTTCTAAACATTAGTCCTTTTTTTCCTAATGAGACTGCATTTCAAGGCAATTCTTGAAATAGGATTAGCAAATAAACTAAGAAAATAAATCTCACCTGTCATAACTAGAACCTATTAGGGGAATCGTGACCATCTCCTCTTGGGTTATCTTAAGCTTTGGCGCTTGCAGTATGTAACGCAATTCTGAGGCCTGGCGCCGAATGCTGACACTCGGGTGCTTTTTTTCCAACTGTTGGTACAGATCAATGCAGTCCGCATGGCGGTTATTGGCCTCATATGCCATCGCAAGCCAAATTTGTATCTACGAAGGAAAAGAGAAGGAGCAATTCATAGTACAGCTCGATGTTTAATAAATCTGACCAAGAAAACAATTATATATATATATATATATATATATATATATATATATATATTATAGATTTACTAACCTCACCGCCAAACAAGGTGGGTCTTGGGATGATTGTGAGGGCGGCTTCAAAAAACTCAGTGGCACGCGCATAAGTGCCCTTTTCGTATGCTCTTTGTCCCAAGTCAAACATTAATTGAGCTGTCTTCCTCCTTTCTGCTTGCTCCATTGCTACCTAAAGTATATCATAATGAATATCTAATACAGTATTATTATTTGGGGAAACATGATATATAAAGTGCCATCTTTCATATCGAAACTGCAATTTTTTTCATTTTCTTTTCCTTTCCTGCTAAAAGGGTTTATGATTTGGCAGACACCAACCTTACAACATTAATTTTACCAATCTATAAATGCAAACACACCATTTAAGAAACAAGCAGAGAACATATATGTAATGAAAAGACTGAAGTAACTATAAGAAAGTATTTTTATTGTTTAACTCTTTCAATCCAACCGAAACTTTTGAACCTTTACTCTCAATACGATTTAACTTGAAAAACATTCAATGATAGGAACTGTTGATGGTCCGAAAACTAGAAAATGTATACGTGCAAAGAGCAAAACAAGAGACTATTTAACTAATGGAAGATAATGGTACCCGATTCTGCTAACCAGATACAATAAACAGTTAGCTTATTCACCAAAAATATACCTCATTTTCACAACTTTCCTAGGTCAGGATACCTCCTCAAAAGATTATTATTTTTGACAAACTAGCAACACTATGCTTTCCCCCCATACATTTTAAATTACAAATAATCTACTCTCGAAATAATTCACATCTCATTAATTCAAATCCAATCACGCACAGTTACGCAAACAACGGCAAAGTCTGTTAGTTCTATGCATCGCAAACCAAACGCCACAAAAGCTAAATTCTGCAATATATCCTCAACAGATGAATCTCTCGAGTTCATCACTCAGAATTCAGAACGAAACCCAACCTGAGATGTATCTCAAACAACCAAACTAAACTCAGCAACACTTCAAATCCCTTTGAAAATGCAGAAAAATGTTTCTAATTAGCTCAGTTCAACAGTCAGTTCAACAGAAAAAAAAAAAAAAATGATTATATCTTGCAAATGTTTCATTAAATGGCGCTTACATTAGAAAAACACAACCAAACAATCACAGAGGAGGCAACAAACAAACCTTCTCGAGTTCCTTTTTCACCCTCATCCGCTTCTCCTCCTCATTCTCCTCTTTCCGGCCGCCGTCGCCGTCGTCGCCGCCACCCCCATCTCCAAAATCCTGATCGACTCTGTACTGCAACTCCTCTGCCTTTGTCTCCAGCTCCCGCATCTCCTCGATTTCCTTCACCCTCCTCCTCATCTCCTTCTCCCAATCGAACCCTTCGTCCTCCCCGAGCTCGTCCTCGATCCCGCTCCCGTTCTCGTCGTCGCTAGAGTTCTCGTACTCCACCCCGCTCGATTTCGACCGGCTCGATTTGCTCCCCCGGTTCGTGTGCCTCTCCCGGTGATCAAAGGTCGAGTCCGGATAGTGTGGTTGGATCGTATCCTTCCAGAAGAGGCTCAGGACGGCGTCGGACGGCAGAAGACTGGTGGCCCGGCGGTCGGGGACCAAGGCCCGCGTTCGGTCGGGGAGGATTGTGCGAGTCGCGAGGTCGAGGAGTGGGGATATGTTCCCGATGGACACAGCCATGCCAACGGCGTCGTAGTTTGAGCTCTGATCCGAGGTCCGTCTATGGCGGATTGTTTATCTGAGATATTTTTTGGGGGAGTGTTGGAGTTTGTGTGTCGTGTTTATCGAGTGAGCAAAATTGGATTTTCTTTTTGTTTGTTGCTCTACTTTATTTGTGGGTGGTGAAAAGACCGAAAAGGGCACACCAGATATTTCGCAGGTCGAAGTGAGAAAATTTGTAAAATGAAATGAGTTGCTTGTGAGCTCGATTTTAGTAGTCAAGGCTCGAGCTCAGCTCAGTTCATTTAAAAGTTGAGCTTGTTTTGGTTAACAAATTGAGTTCGTCGTTAAAGCTTGAAAAGACGATTGTTGTATAATCTTTTTATAGTTCGATCCATTAATGCTCGATTTTGGCTCGAGCAGCACGAGCTCGAACTCGACTCGGCCGATTACACCCCTACATGTGAGGTGACAGATATGGTGTCATCGTGTTGTCTTCGAACTTTACTATCACCTTTCTATGTTATTTATATTATTTGAATATATTACATCAGGTCCAAATCAAAATTTATATCGTATTTTTCGTGTCTTGTTTCGATTTGTGCCTATCGTCATCTGTTTATGTATTCCAATTGTGTCGTTTCGTGATTTTACCTTACGGCAAGAGTCATGTCTACCGTCATTTGTTTCTTTATTCCAATTTTTGTATTTATACTTTCTGCCATGCCAGACATCTGTATATAACAGAGATTACGAAATTAAAATTAGCCTGCTTGCTTCGTGTAAGGTAGATTCAACCGCTTGCCACCATCGAAACATTACAGTGGTCGGAATATGCTCCAAAGCCCGATCAAGGCAAATATTTTCACCTAAATTTTACCTAATTTTACAGTCAAAATTGAAATTGCTAGCATGCTTGGATACAAATTCAACCCAAAAAATTCAATCCTTTTTAACTCAACTATTTTTTTTAACTTAACTTTAACTCAACTCACTATCATCAATATTATAAAAATAATTAAATCATATCAATTAATCATTCATACACATGGCATCAATTTTATTTCACTATTCATCTACTCACATCATTTTAACTAACCATCACAGCGCATCTTCTCTCTCATATTTTTACATCAATTTAATTTTAATCATTTTTTTTAAATATTATTTTAATATACTTACGAACAATTAACCATACCAACTTTTTTAAAACTTAACCAACCCAAACCAAAAATCCAATCAAAACAAAAACTTTTTATATCCAAGCATGGGGTAAACAAGCTATGTAATGTGTTGCTCGACTCTGCTCAAGCCAAGATAAAATATAAGGGTACTCAACACCGACTTTGATGGTCCGTAATGCTCGAGCTCGACTAAAATTTGACTTGATTTTCAACAGTTACACATATGGGAACACTATACATGCGAGTGTTCAGTTAACTTGAGCCGTTCGACTCATTTGCAACCTTGTTGAGAATATTTCATGTTGGCACTCGGGAGTCGGGACTCGGGAGCTGTTTATATTATTTTACACACTGTAGTTTAGGCTATTGCTTGGGCTTCTATGTCATGGGCTGGACCAGAGTAAAACATTTCAAGGCCCTTTAAAATTTTTATATTTAGTACTGGGCTGCTAAGTCATGGGCTGCCTATAAAGAAAGTATCCTATTGTTTCCTTTTTTTTCTTTTTATTTTTTATTTTTATTTTTTTTATTAATTTCTTTTATGAATAATTAATATGATCGATAGACAGACTTATAAGTCTGTGTACAAAGATAACAAGTATTGAAAATTTAATTATTATCTCATTAGCATTAGTCATAGTTTGGTAAATATAATCACAGCACCGGACTCTTGTCATATGATTAATCACTACTTACATATACTCTAAAGCTCAAAATCAACTTAAATTTAAAAAAGTAAGTTATTATATTAATTAAACACAAAGTTGGCTCCTTGGAAATTCAGAAATATTTTTAGAGACAATGGCTATGTAGCTTATTAATTTTTCATGATTAATTATCTTGATCGATGTTAGTGATAATAGAGCTTGTTGTCCTTCTTGCGGGTTTATTTTTAAGTAATTTTTTGAACTTAACATAATTAATTCGATTCGTTAAGGTCAAATTGTAACGACCTCGAAATACCCTTTTTATTTTGAGAATATTTTTCTTTACCCCTTTTTGAAATTAGTGCGGAAGCGTAAGTCAAAATTTCCAAATAGTATGCATAAAACTTAACATAAAACAAAAGTCTCAAAACCAATGCGTTTTATAAGCCTCAAAAGAAATTATAACAAAGGGAACATTATTTCATAATAGATTTCTAGTGTGATACGCCATCTCCCCCGGTACGCCACCAGCTCCCTCAACCTGAAACATAGATTACATAGAAATAGGGGTAAGCCAATGATGCTTAGTGGGGCACTTTATATCAGATATGAACATTATATAAATGTACGATGAAAATATTGTAACATGACAGTGAATCTCCAACATGTTTTACGTAGAATTAAATCCACAGAGTACTCGGCCATAATGTCTATGTATAGCCCAAAAGGCTATATAAATTCTAGCCCGAAGGCAATTGAATACGGAGATCACATAAGTAACTTGATGATAATGAAATATTCGGACATGAACATGAATTGTTTGTAAGAATAAAACCCCACCTGGATGAATGGATAAATGAAGGATGACAAGATCGACTCGGATGAAAGCCTACTACTCAGTGTATTCCAACTC